CATATCATACACACACAAGTTAGGTGCTTGTTGGTTTTAGACAAATTTCCATGTATAATTTTACTTCTGAGGTATTTAAATGATTTTGTAAGAAGTTAGTTTGCACAGTCTACTGTGCATTTAGCGCTCTAAGGAATCATTGGTATGCAGATTTAGACACAAACATTGTTTTATCACAAGCTACATTTTTCTGTGATATAAAAATAAAGTTAATGAGATGTAGACTTAGTCTCAAAGTAAGTAAAATAAAAATAACTTCAACAAATTAGAAACAGTCTATAAAAAACTCATTAGAAATTCAAGGCCAGATTTTCAGCTCAAATTGATGAAGTTGCACCAATTACATCAACTGAGGTTCTGTTCCTAAATCTTTCTCTCTCTCAGATTTTGAATTAGGGTTTTATACGATATAGTCACACAAAATGCTGACAGATATAGAGTTTAAATACCTCTTATCCATCTCAGTAAAGTAGAATTCCCCTGGGAATATGATGCACATATAAATTTTGAGTACTAGTATTGTTGGTGCAAATTCTGTCCATCCTCCACAGGTGCAGAGACATCAGGCAAGTGAAAACAGATAGTACCGTTGTACAAAAATGAACAGGATTTTGCGACCACATAGATAGTATAAAATGTATATATGGCATAGAACAAACTGTGCTCTGTGGCAGCGGTCTATGTGCCAGCACAGGAGTAAGGCAAAAGGAGAAGTAGTTGGGCTGGAGGATACATTGCTACGTGGATCCTACAATGTTTCTACCCATCACCTGCAGAAGGAGCCATGCAAGATCTTAGTATTTACTGCATCTTCAAGCACTCAAGCACCTCTTTAGATGAGGCCACCATTATCTTTGATTATAACTTCCTTAAAAAATAGTCCCTGTCTCCTTTTGTTTGTACTCAGCCAAATACACTGCCAGCACTTAAACTTCCAAGTGACTAGAGAGAAGCTATCTAATTGGCTGGGCTTAGAAGCATGATTTGAACTACTCTTTCTAATTATGAAAGCTAATGCTTTGTCCAGTGGCCATCCTGATTCCCTCAAAATGTGTCCCTTTTTGGAAATGTCTATAACCAGCTGTGATGGGTTGGATCACAAAGATCCCCTTGAGACTATCACCTGATAGGTTGATCACAACCTTGAGCCTAACTGCCTGCCCTCAGGAGTGCCTCACCGCGCTGTCCTCCTGAGCCAGAAGCTCTGATCTTCCCCCAGCAAAAGCACAGAGTTGAGATAATAGCTCCCCAGCAGAGTAACACAGACAAGGAGAACAGTTCAGTTCTGATACTTAACACAGCACCATGAGGCACAGCCCCAGTGGAACCAAACTCTCATAAATTCACCTTACTTTGTATAAAAGTTTTACTCATAGAAAGCTCATAAAGATTTATCAATGAAAGAGAGCTATGCACAGCTGTTGTTCCCCTCCCTCCCCCCCAGGTAAAAATATTTATAAATGAATAAAGCTATATGTATTATAATAAAAACAATGTATTAATTATAACAAGTGGGATTTAAGTACGATCAAAATAAATTACTATGCAAAATAAAACAAAACACATCAGCTAAGCCTAAAGCACTAAGAGAAATTGTTACAAATCATAATTTCTCACCCTAGTTCTTATTTCTGGTAAAGTTCTTCTCAGGCCAGAGCTGATCTTTTTATTTCTTACCTGTGTTTAGCTGCTTCTCTCCCATCATTAGAGTTCTTTTCCTTCTAGGTCCTTTCATGTATTCTATTATGGTAGGGAGCAGTCTGTGAAGCCAACAAAAGGCCATCATTGTTTGCTTCCCATACCTTAAATAGAATTTTCCCAGGGTGGGAAGTCTTTGTCTTTCCATGGAATATGATGTGCAAGTAAATTTTTAATATAAATGTTGTGGGAATATATGTCCTCCACAGGTGCCACAGGTTTTCAGGCAGTTGACACATCTACAATACCACCCAAAAGCTCTACTAGTAGTGATTGGACAACTGGAATCCATAAAACTTTACGCTCCACTAAATGTAACTCCCCAGTCCCTGATTGGGTAAAGTTATGTTATTTAAGCCAGAGAGAGAGAGAGAGGAAATTGTTTGTGCAACTGGGTGAATTCTAGCTGGCTGCTACTTTGCACCCTGCCTTCATGTGTGTCTCCTGAGACCTACCTACCTGACTTGTCTTTGGCCCCTTCTTTCTTGACTGGTGCCTGATTTTTACGGGTCTTCTGTTCCCTGCCCCTGGTCTCTGACTTTTGATTTGACTCTTGACTCTGGCTCTTGTTCCTCTGGTTGGGGCAATGTGGGATTAGCATTTTGGTGTCATTAGGAAATTGACTCCATATGTCACCTGCTATCTAAATCAATTGTCACTGTTCACAAAAGACCAATTTCCAGTATGAAAACAATTCATCAGTCTCAGTTCTTAACAAAATACTTAGTGAAAATGGAAAATTCTGGGGATCATCAGAATTCCACTCTAAGTAGAATTGGTAGAGTGAGATGCTGGTACGGGGGGTGCAGGGGAACCCTCTTGGATTTTTGGAAATAGCAACAAAAAATTCCGGTCATCTGAAGAAGTAGGCCGTGCCCATGAGAATTCATGATACCATCTACATGTTTTGTTAGTCTATAATGTGCTACCAGTTAAGTTAAGTTAAAAAAGTTACTGTGTAACAAATACATACAGCATATGTTCCATCCTCATTGGCTACGTCTACACTGGCCCCTTTTCCGGAAGGGGCATGTAAATTTCACGAGTCGTCGTAGGGAAATCCGCGGGGGATTTAAATATCCCCCGCGGCATTTAAATAAAAATGTCCGCCGCTTTTTTACGGCTTTTAAAAAAGCCGGAAAAGAGCGTCTAGACTGGCCCCGATCCTCCGGAAAAAGCGCCCTTTTCCGGAGGCTCTTATTCCTACTTCGCTCTTTTCCGGCTTTTTTAAAAGCCGGAAAAAAGCGGCGGACATTTTTATTTAAATGCCGCGGGGGATATTTAAATCCCCTGCGGATTTCCCTACGACGACTCGTGAAATTTACATGCCCCTTCCGGAAAAGGGGCCAGTGTAGACGTAGCCATAGGGTATGTCTATACTAGCTCATTAATTTGAGCTAGGTAGGCAAATCAGGCAACCGGAGTTGCAAATGAAGCCCGGGATTTAAATATCCCGGGCTTTATTTGCATGTTCCCATTTGGCCGCCATTTTTAAATCCCCCTTAGTTCAAACGAACTGCCCGCGGCTACACGCGGCAGTTTAAAGTTAATCTGAACTAAGTCCTTAGTTCGGATTAGCTGTTACTCCTCGTGGAAGCAGTTGGAGCAGTTGTGTTGGATTATTTCGGCTCCCATTTTAAGTTAGTGGCTATGTTACTTTTCTCTGTGGGCAGTGGAAGTTCCTCAGTCATTATGAGAGTCCTTTCAAAGCCCATTTCAGTGCTGTGCCTCCTCACACCCCAGCTGAGAAGCCTTATACTAGAACTGACTGTGTAGTTAGCAGTGAGAAAGAAGGGGCAGTAGACAGCAGAATGTCCCTCTGCAGGGGGAAGCTAAACTGGTTGGATCGTTTCTTCCTAATGACTGTTCCTAGGGTCCTGCTTCATACCAGCTCCTGCAACATTTCCATTCCTGATCTGCTTGCTACTATGCAAACTGAAATTTGCAAAAGATTCTATCTTGTGTAAAGGAATGTGTACCATGGAGGTAAAATGTCTGTCAGAGGTGCATTAACCTTGCACATATGTCTATATGACAGGCTCATAGAATGGGATGTTTGAGGGTCTAAAAGCCCTAAGAGCTCTTCCCTTTTCTTTGAAAGGAAACTCTCTGGAATTTGGAAACTCTCCAGATCAATCATTGTGACTGTGTGTGCAAATGGTGTGAAATGTAGGATAAAGCTAGCAGGTTTCACTGGGATAAAAATTATGCAAACACAAAAACGTATGTCCTCAAAGGGGGCAATAATGTATTACTTTAAAAGTCAGTTAAACTCTGGATGGGTGAAAAGTTTTCTGGCAGCAGGAAGACTAGCAAATGTGAGTCACCAAATTAGGGGCTAGCAGTGGTTCGTGTTTGTAGCACCACAGATCACTGGCAGGAATGAATTCAGATTTTGTCGTCTATTTGTTAGTAAATCAATAGTTACAGCAATTCTGAAAAAGTAATGGCAGCATCTTCACACTATCTGTGGGATTTCTTGCTAAGCTTCTCATAATTTTTCTCCTGACTCTCTTGCTCCTGCACAATAGATTTTGGAGTCTTTCCTGTAGATATAGGTTCTTATTGCCCCTTCAAGGCGGCAGCAGCAACAACAACAGCAGGAGGACACTCCTTGTTGTCTTGGGCAACTACGGTTCTAGCAAGTAACAGAACGGTGATTATACAGACACAACAGCCTTTCCTTAGAGCTCCTACTAAGAGTTTCTTTACTTTCCAGTCTGATCTGATGTTGAATGCCAGGTCCTCTTTTAAATACCACAGAACCTTTTCTCCAGGTATATGTCATATTTCCTCACTGACATATGGAGCTTAACCTTTTCCCAGGCCTAACTGACAAATACATTAACATAGCAGTGTAAATCTGTTAACCTTATTTCCTGGGAGATGTTTATTACTTAGTGGTTTTGAAGAGAGCTTGATTAAATTATTCTCTGTTTTGATTTGGTAACCAGTTTTTTCCACGGGTATTTTCTTAAATGGGGTTTCTGTACTGTAGCTCAATGTCACTCTGATTTATGTGTTCAAATTCCATGACAAATTATGAGTGCTTCTTCATTTATTTTAACCAGTGAGCACTGAAGAATTTACATATAAATTCAAATCTGTGAATATTCTTTTTTTCATAAGATTTTATATGAATTCATATGTTACAATACAATTTTATAGACAGACTGAAATTAAATCTCTTGTACATCTTACTGTAATCCTGTTAAATATAATGCCATGTTTTTTTTCTTGTTGTTTAAAATAGTAACTGTATGGATTTGATAGTCTTTTTTTTCTGGTTTGCTTTTTTTTAGATATGCCGGGCAGCCCACATAACCAGTTCACATTCAGACCACTCCCACCCCCTCCACCACCACCACATGCATGCACCTGCAGCAGGAAACCACCTCCAACAGCAGATTCTCTCCAGAAAAGATCAATGACAACCCGAAGTCAACCCAGTCCAGCTGCTCCAACCCCTCCATCCACTACGCAAGATTCTGTACACCTGCATAACAGCTGGGTCTTGAATAGTAATATACCATTGGAGACAAGGTATATATAAGCAGAGTCTACTTTTCTTAAGAGTTTAAAATAGGGGGTGAGGACTGAGGAGGAGTTGAAAAAATAATAGGAGAGAAAGAATGGCTTTGTAGTTCAGAACACACAATGCTTTTTCCTATGATCCCATGGTATCATAAGCATTATTATCATCATTTTATTAGTTAACATAGATCATAGATCAAAAGCATATATAGAAAAGTGTGTGGAGGGGAGGGGTAATTGAACTCCAAAGATGTGTTCAAGAAGTGCACACTGTGTGCTTATTAGTTGTAGATTTGCACACACACACATCTATGTATCCATGCAGCCCACTCTGTATTTGCCATAGAAGCATCAATGAATCTACGCAAGAAGGCCATGCCTCAGGGAATCACTGCAGACTGTAAGTTCTGAAAGCATTCAGCCTTGCAGTCTTTGACTACCTGAAAAAAACCCACTTGTGAAAAAATTCCCCAAAATTATTGAAGACATCCTGGATGTTTATGTACAAATCTGCATTTGCAAAAGAAGGCCAAAATGGTTTGAGGTTGCATAACATTCAGTTGATGATTTGAGGCCTGATGCGGCTTCCAAAAGAAATATTGAAGTCAAGGATTGAAACTTGAATAATTTTCTTGCACAATATAATCTGCAAAATAATAATCTGAATAAAATACATTTCCAGTTCAGAAGGACTCTGTAATGTAGGGAGCCAAATTCTGTCCTCTAAGGTAAATGCATGGCTATCCTTGACTTTTTTGGCTTAAAGCTGTTATTTAATCTGAATAACTAGTTTTATTACTATTAAGTAGTAGTGTGCCAACCATTTAGATCCTGTCTAGTTGTCAATCTGACTCTTGGACAAGCTTACAGACCTCCTGAGTAAATTAGTTACTGAGTTTTGCACAAGATTCTCCTTCCCCACATGGAACATTGTGGGTCTAAATCTGAGTAGACTTGGCTGGTGTTTCTATTCGGTTTTCAGGTTTATTCAAAACACTAAGAAGTGATCTATTTACCCCACATGTACTGAAATTGATTAATTTGACATGAATTTAACACTAACAATTTAATATAATGGATACTTTCACAAAAGCATTTTCCTTTCAAACATACATGTTCAATTATTTAACTATTATCAGTGGGCAAAATTTGATGGTCTTGCAATGAGATGAAATTGTTTTGGCTTTCCTCAGAACTAAATGTGCAACATACTTTTTTATACATTCTGGCTGCTACAATATACCAGTGTCACTTTGTATAAGTTACTATCTTCTGAAAAGATGTGAATTTGTACTGAAAGGAGGTACTGATTTAATTTTGATTATAATTACTTTCTGAGTTAAGACTACAGTATATTACGTGCTTGAAAAATGAATACCAGTCAAGGAATGAATGGGTCTGTCAACTCCACCAGGTGAAAGCACAATTTTTGGTAAAAAGAATGGCTGTTTTCAAATTAATACATGATATGGCCCCTGTGATATTTTTCTAACGCTTCCATTTACAATTTACATTTAATCATATTTGTCCAGATTCACCCACATACCTCCTGTAACCTGGCAAGATAACATCTTTAAATTATATGTAAAATACTTACCAGAATTTCATAGTGTAGGCTTTTATATAAAAACTGAGGCCAAAGAAAGCATGTTTGATTTACTCTGAAGTAATTCAACAGTGTAAGTCAAAGAAGAAATTCAGCTATGGAAAATAATTGGAACACATACCTCCAAAATATGTATATTTCATGTATTCAGAACATATACCATTAATTTCCAATCAGCTTCCATTACCGCATAGATCATTTTTTAAAAAATTAACATAAGATGGTTGATATCAGAATTTCTTATTACACTGTTTTCAGGATGAAGGATCTCCAGTGGTTTTTGTGAGGAAGGATTGATATTTAACTAATATTTCACTGATATTATATTGCCTGTTGTCCTGATCAGTGCCTCATAAACACAATGGAACTTTTCAATTGACTTCAGCAGGCACGGACCAGGTTTTATGTAGCCTTCCTCCATCATAATAATTCATTGTTTCCTCTCTAGACTTCCCTGTTTGGAGACAGATCTTTAGTAATTTAACTGTACTCCCTTTTCAACACACTTTATTTTCAGTGATTTTCTTTACATTGGCTATGAATTATTCCCAGAAAGAGCATTATATAATCCAGGAGTGGGCAAAAGGGCCTCTGTGGCCTGCGGAGGCCCTGTCTTTCCCCTACCTCCAGGCCAATTAAAGGCTGGTTTGGAGGGAAGTGCATGAAGTTTCCTCCTCCCTGCCAGGAGCACGCGGCACTTTGAAGCACCATATGCTCCTGGCAGGGCAGGAGGAGACTTCGCATACTCCCCTGCCCCCAAGCCCTGATTGTCCTGAGGAGTGGGGGGAGCGCGCAAAGTTTCCTCCACCCTGCCCCTGCCCTGCGAGCAGCACACGGCACTTAGAAGCACTATGTGCTCCTTGTAGGGCAAAAGGAAGCTTCGCATGCTCCCTTGCCCCCAGGCCCTGATTGGTCTGGTGGTGGGGGAGCACGGGAAGTCTCCTCCGACCACCAGGGGCATGGGTGCCTATGGGAAACCTGGGAGGGCAAAGGAGCTCTCCCATCCCCAGACTAATTATGGTCTGTGGGTGTGGAAACCCAGAAGCATCTTAGCCCCACTTCTTGTGTTTGAGGCCCTGACCCCTTCCGCTGCAGCCCTGGGCCACTTCAAAAAAATTTTAAGTGCTCCCTGGCAAAAAAAATTATTGTCCACACCTGATATAATCTAATTGGATAGATTAATTAATTGATTACAGTGCTATGCTCCATGTTGGGGATTCATAATGAAGAACAACCTATAGATTCCTTTTTCTTGAGTGTCAGAGTCTGGAAGCTTTCCACTTTCAATGTTCCCAGCCCAAGGATTGGTAACGGCTGTCTTCCTTGATTTCCAGTGTCCTCTAACAGTTGGCTACAACTTCTTAGGAATCTCATGGGGACTGTAGGCCTGTGGCATGGACTATTCACAGCTGTTCTCTAAGATAAATCTGGGATTCATTGAAGTAGTAAGTCATAGCTTCATGGTCACTAGTCAGAAAAAGCCTATGACACCGGGGTTGATAACTTTTTCAAACCAAAGAGCCAAACTACATCAACATTCAGAGCAAGTGGTCAACAAAGTTTCATATGCATGACTGAAAACAAACAATTTAATATTATTAATATTATTTAATATTATTGATAATTGACATGATTAATAATAGCATAAATGAAATATTATACTCACAGACTTTATTTAAAAGGACTTCTGCTGCTGTATCTTTTCATACATTTCTTTGAAATTTATATCATAATTGGTCAAATCCAGCTTCATGCATGCATTCAGGCTGTCTTCTATCAGTCTTATGGAAGGGGGCTGGGAATATGGGGGTGCATGAGTTTGGGGATGTGGGGGTATGAGATTCTCAGGGCAGAAGGTTCAGGTGTATAATGGGATCAAGGCTGGGACTTGAGGGGGGGTGCAGGTGTTATGATGCTACAGCCAGATGGGGGCTTGTTGGCCAGGCTTCATTTTTAAATAAAGTAAAATATTATGCCCAACACAAAAGTTTTCAACATTGTCTTTATTCATGTTAGGGGTGGGGAGCCACTGACTCACAAAAAAAAGCAGTCAGGACCACACAAGTGAGAAGCAAAAAATCAACCCCTCCAAAAAACCCTAACCCTTACTGATGTGGCCCCCAACTGAGACACTTAACTCCCCTGGTGCTCCAGCCCTATGGCAGGGAGGACTGAGGTTCAAGGTCTCAGGCCAGATTAACTCTTCTGGGGTTCCAGGGTTATTGGATTTTGTGGGCCTTCCTTACACTCAGGGGTGGAGCCAAAAATGAGGGGTGGGACAGAGTGGCCAGTGAGGGAGGTGGGGTGTAGGATCTGGGTGAGAGGTAGAATGCAAGAAGAGCAGGCTGTGGGTAGGTGTTTGGGCAGAGGTCTGGGGGCAGGAGCAGGGTGCGGGTGGGTGTCTGGGCAGGAAGCAGGAGACAAACTGGGGGTGCAGGGTCTCAGTGTGGAGAGAGGGGTAGGGGATGTAGGGTCACAGCAGCACTTACTTTTTTTCCCAGTATCTGTATCAGGGCATATTCATTGTAACAGTCACTCTCACATGGCAGCCAATCGCTGCTCCACACGGGTACAGAATAAGAGCCGAGTGGAATGGAGGCCACGCCTCACCAGGAGTGCAGGGAATCCAGGCAGCGACTCTGGGCAGGCTGGCCAGGATCAAGCCTGCTGGCACCAGGAAGAAGGTGCTTAGGTCAGTGACGGACTCCAGCAGCCCCGTGGGGCTCTCTGGTGGGGGTGAGAGCACAGTGTGCGTGGGCAGCATGAGTCAGGAGCAGAACATCATGAGGAGCCGTGGGAACACGGCCATGGCAGCAACAGATCCTTCACAGGCAAGAAGGCGGCTGGGTCTGCTTTTGCCTCCCAGGCTGCTCTTAGGCTCTCTGTCCCAGATATGGCTTCCCGCTGCTCCATTGGCCGGATTCTGGACAATGGAGCAGTGGGAAAAGTCTGCACACTTCTTTGTTCTTGTCCCCGTGGGTGCTCCACATTAGGTCGATGTGCTACTGCCGAGCCTCAGAACAGAGATTTGATAAGTGTCCCTGGGAATGCGCATGCGCGCACCAGCAGCCACACACTGATAGATTGTAGGCCTTGCGCATGCCTCCGGCTACAGAAGGACTCAGCAGTGCTCCCTAGCTTCTTCTCATCTGCATGATTATATTGCTTGAAAAACAGTTTAATTTTCTTGTAGTAATTAATTAGGTAGTTAGTTAGTTTTTAAAAAAGAAATCCTAGATTAGTATAAGGGATTTCTTTTTCTTTTCTCCCAGTTAATCCCTTCCAGCAGTTCCTGACTGTTTTCACAGACATGCCTGTCTCACTGGACTTTAAGTGCGGCATCTCATATAAAGACCTTATTCCAATATCAGATGGTCATTCACGATGTGTCCGTTGCCTTGGA